TGTGGCCATTTGTGTCTTGACAGTAGCAGCCCAGGCAGAAATGCAGTGATATGTGTGTGGTATGTTTACAACAGCTTCATAACATATTGTTCCTTGTCATTGGTCCAAGTGCGCTCCCCAGCTCCCCCAGCCTGTGTTTGGGGCAGTGAGGTGGGCTCCGTTTGGACCATCTGCCACAGCCCTGTCCACACCGAGACAATGAGTGTCCGGCCAGAGTGAGCGAGGGAGGGACGTGGGCGGAGGAAGGACATTCAAATATGCCTGCTAATAATTATAGCACAACACCTCTTACACAAATAAAACTGCATCTACATTTGAATTTTTAGCTCTTCTGATGTTTTTTTACTTATTACATAAAGTGGGACGGAAACCGACTTTAAGATATTTGTGATATAAGCTGTAATGCTAACGAAATATCTGGACTGTTTGTGCTGACCAACCTGGTGCTTATAGCTTTGCGAACATTTTCTAAAGCAATAAAATAATCAAATATATTCCAATGAATGAATACACTTTTTACTATTATAAATGTTGTCATGACAAATTTTCATCTTTTCTGTATTAGCAAATTTCAGCACAATGGACTTTTGAACACTGAATTTATTTCAAAATACAGCTACATCTCAACTTTAACTAAGCAAGAAGGAAAGAATGAATTTATAATTGATAATGAACAAATCATTTATTAGGAATGATCGTACTTAATACATCAACCCTAGCCCCTTAATCAAGTGTGCATTGTGTAGCTTTCCTGGTGGAGGGTCCATAACCTGCTTGTTTCTATGAATAAGTCATTGCTTTCTCGAGAATGTTCCGCAGTATGACATTAAACAGCTTTACCTTATATTTGTTGAATTACAGGTGGTTGTTTTGCTCAAAAAACGGCATTCAGAATGTGAGCGGGGTCACCTCTCCATGGATCTGACCTTGTAACTTGTAACTTGGTCTGGTTTGGTTCCCAGGAAGACAGAAAGGTTTAATACTTAATGCACACTGTAAAACATTCCAGACAAAGAAATAACATCTCATGGAGAAAAACATTTGACGACTCTCCACCCGAAAAATTACACAATGCAACTTTAAGTAGTTACTAAGCTTGATAAAAACATTAATAATTTAGTTATTATAAAGTCATGCCAGGGTGGGTTTTGAATATTTTTACTACTACGAAACTATGCTGTTACTACACTTAATTGATTTCTGAAGTTGAAAATAAATAAGTGATGTAGCTACATAAAAAGATGGATTATTAATTAGCACCTAGTATAAAGATTTTTGTCAGTCAGTTATTTAAAATGAGTACTTCTATAATTTACTAGTAATATTTGAATCTTTAAATAACTCAAGCATGTTTTCACCAACTTAACAATAGAAAAATAATACACGTAGCAGTCAGAATCGCTGTTTGGCAGAGCTGTAACCATCCCATCCCATAATGTACTGCACCGTGGCCGGGTTATGTAAGAGACTGTTCTGGTCTATTCTTAGCTCTACCTCGCTGAGAAAGTAACTGTGCTGGTTGCCTGAGAGTCAAAAGCGCACAGATCTGATGAGGGGGGGAATCAGTGAGGTGCAAACAGCGCAGTGGGTTACTCTGCCATCAGGCGCCCGTACCGCGACACGGGCAGGATGGCATGCCCAAATTTGGATACAGGAAATAGAGGTGTACGCGTGAAGGGGTGGCAGATAAGGGGGTTATAAATTTAGTCGTAGCAAGAAGGGATGTATGTAAACTACAAAATTAAAATTGTTAAGTAAGACACTCATTTGTTGTGTATATTTTTTTGTTTCTCTTCTGTATTAGTTTGAAGAAGAAATTGAAAAGCAGTTAACATTATTATTTCAAAATGCCAGAAAGCCAAGGAAAACTGGTAAAAAAAATACATTTCTATCTCTTCAGCTATCACGACACAACCACTTTCACATCCTCCATCTGTCACTATGCCCTGTCTCGGTCACTTAGCCTCCCAACTGTCCACTGCATTTTAATGGATGCCAAATCCTATTACAATGATTCCTGGAAGGCCTGTGAAAGAGGGGGTCACATATGGTGAATCTGTGTAGTAGTTGTTCCTGGGGTCTTAAGACAACATTTGACGTAGACCAACATCTGACCTTCTCTATGACAGGGAGGGCAGGGTGTCTATGGTAAGGGCAAGGCTTTATGTAACAATAATACACTGCTTTTATATACTGATTTCTCCCTGTTTGGTATAAATATAAACTTTTTATTTTGTTTTTTATACAAGCTGTTTTTATACAAACTGTAAAAACCTTTCTAGTTCTTGGGTCAGGGTCATATAAATTTACCTGAAATGTTCTGTTATATTAGCCTGATTCATCCTGACCTCGCAGCATTAGGATTCATTCGCTTGACGGTAGGCAGCTACTTTTTTTGCTGCTATTTGGTCGTGATGTATGTAATGACCCAAATCCCACAGGAAGAAGGGCGATAACGTCTTTCCCCTTGATAAAATTTACTAAACATTCTCTTTGTTCTGGCTTTAAATCCTCAATCTCGGGAATCGTTGAACACACAGAATGCATGGCTCTTCACTGATTAGCTGATCCCCGGACTTGCACTTCCGGGGTTCTTGCAAACCTTCTGTGTATCCCGATTCCTGACCTAGTTGCTGGAGAGAAATGAAATTGAGCAGAGGCACTAGGTGGCACCAGCCTGGCTACTGTTGTATGGCTTTAATATCTATTTCGCAGTGGCTCAGTTTCAGGTGTTTGTGTTGCTCAAACATGCATCTCTACAAATTGGACTTGTGATTTGGTCTGATGGCACCTTCTTGTCTCCATGGAGATAAATAGGAGGTCTACTGCCATTAGATCTGTCACAATAATTACTATATCGATTTATCGTTCAATATATGAAAGCTGGAACAATATATTTTGGGACTCAGTATTTATCGTGTGTGTAATTTCTGTGCAATAGTAGGGAGATTTTTGTTAATTTTTGAAGGATTTGAGCTTTACAGTGTAGAATAAATAATAAATAAATAACTTCTAAGTTGTCTTTTTTTTGTATCTATGTATTTGTTGCAACTCATGCTACTCTTTATTTAAAAATGGGTTTTCTGGGATTATTCTGCTTTGTGTCAGTGGCATAAAGTGGTTTCAATATTATCATTTATCATCTGTATTTTCTTAAACTATATATCGTGCTTCAAATTTCTTCCCTGTCATACTGTGGAACATTTCAGTCAAAGCTATTTTATGTGTTTTTTATGTGCTGCATTTTTCTAGCAACTGTTGAGAGACCAGAATACTAACTATAAATAAAATATACGACATGCCAAAACCTAATTAGACATAGATTTGTCAAGGAGAGCATTGTGCAGTTAAACTAATAAGAAAATGCTGGCCACTCTATCTTTTCATTAAGGATTTTCTATAATTATGTTTTGTACAGGTTCGATCTGAAGTGGACCAGTAATGCATTTGAAAAGTGTTTATTCAATGTTGTATTAATTATTAGATCAATTTTTACTCTTTGAAAAATGTCCCCTCCACGTATAATTCTTGTTATTTCAAATGTTAGTTCCCATTCTAGACTGACATTTTCTTTCAAATTTTAAAGAGCCAGTGAGTCAGACCCAATAAGTGCATTCCCTTATAGTTCTCCGTCAGTGCCAAAACTTTGCACAAAATGGCGATCCTTTTTAAATGCCAAATGCACATTTCCGACACTCACAGAAATGCCCTTCACTTGTACAAAAGACATTTTAAGCATTTGAGTAGTTTGAATAAAAGCAGCCAGTAACTTGAAGCAGCTTTTTCTTAAAATGTGGTTTCGACTTTGCTCGGCGTTGCATCATGTTTATGTTATCTGAAACATAGACAGCGGGGTGAGTGAGATCTGACAAGATTGGGAAATTATGAACATTGTTTACTCCACAACAGACAGAGCTGGCCCTGTTACCACTGCAGGCAGAGGGCTGGAGCAGGCTTGTCTGGGCGGGCTCCAATGGTAGAACCCTCGGGCGATGGCTGCACTGGTTCCATGTCCCTGTTTATGCTCAGCACAGCCAGACACTCCTGTCTAGACCTCATGTCCAATCATTCACTCCTTTGTCCAGACTCGTGCTGTACTTTGAAAACGCTCACATTTGCTATTAAAAAGGACTTTGATTTGTGTATGGTAGATAAGCAGTTGAAACTAACATGTGTGACTGAAAGAATATGACTGAAAATAGGAATGCCACGATAACAAATTTTGAAGCATGATATATCAGAGAAATATGGCGACAAATGCTCATATTGAAACTACATACTGCCACTGACCCACAATAAATATTGAGCTCCAGAATATATTGTTCCAGCTTTCATATATTGAATGATGAAAAAGTAACTGAACGTCCATCTTGCTGAGGTTGAGTGGACTCCAAATGCTTGATATTTGTGAAAAGAAGTCAGTGCTTTGTGAAAGTTATCTCTTGCATAGCAGGTTTTCAGTTTGTGTCTGACAGTTAGTGTAATTGACACCAGCGCAGATGTATAAGTGAGTATGAGAATTGATTTTGACAGCTCACAAATTATCGGACCAGCTGTGGAGATGAAATTCTTCTCACAATCGTTTTGATAATTTGTTTTACTGAGCAAAACCAGATAAGGCAAATAAGCCATAGAAAATACACAAGATGGTGTCTCAATATAACTCTTGTTTAAAGACTGATTCAGAATTATACATTAGTTATTCATGGCTTTAGAGAAAATCAAACAAAAACATAATTTCCATAATCTTTCCTTGCCTCAGTAAATAGTTTAATATTTGACTATATTAGAGTTGCTTACATAATGTACACACACTAACAAATTAACACATCAAAACTATGACTAAACTGGGACTATATTCAAAACTAACCTTGGACAACAACAACCAATTTGGACTAAACTGGGCTGAAACCTGCACCCAACAAGGACCAGTGTGACCCTAAACAACCATGTCCGGTATTTTTGTAAGTGCTTTAAGTGTTTTTGTTTTGTTTGTGCAGACCTCAGTGACACTCTGTTGGAAGTGGTGGGTCTGGAGGGGGCCATAGAGATGGGTCAGATCTACACTGGACTGAAGAGCGCAGGACGGAGATTGGCCCAGTGCTCCAGTGTCACCATCAGGTCAGCCCCATTTCTCCTCTATTCTCTGTTCATGTGTCCTCTGAAATATACATGCAAAAGAAAATGTAGTTCTAAAGTGCTATGTGTCCTCAAAACTGATGCTGAATAATAAATGTCAACATACAACATGCCTAACGTTTCATTCACAAAAAACAATGTTGGTGTCTTTCAGCCAGTAATATTAAAGGTTCAATGTGCAATTTTTTTGTAACTGCATGAGATTATGGAGACCACCAGAAAACCTCACCAGAAAAATTACATAGTATAGCTTTAAGGTTATGGCTGCAATAATCAAATAGCAAAGGCTTCAGTTGTTTAGGCAACAGAATGTTCCTGCAAACAAAATATGTTGCCCAACTTGTTAGAACTGGATTCTTCTATTAGTTTAGCACTTTATATTTTAGTATCTCAAAGGTTAATGTTAATGGATAAGTTTGTAAATTGCACCATGAACTGAACAATGATTTTAAAACATTACGTACAGTATTTTCTCAAGATCCTCCAGTCATAATAAAAGTGGCATAAACAACAGCTTCTTTTACTGCATGTAGCTCATTTTCCAAGAACTGAGCTGATGAATATTTTGAAATCCCTCTCCCATACACTGTTGCTTTAGCTGCAGGGGCGACAACAGAGGCCCTAAACTAACTTCTGACTGCGTGTGTGTACAGTAGGCACAGAGTTTGAACAGTGGGGGCCTGTCTGGGAATGAGTCTGATGGGAACAAAGGGTGCAGTGTGTGACCCTGTCCTGGGACAGTGTGAATGGCCTCTACTGCCTCAGAGGTGTGCGTGATCTGACCTTCACAACCTCTCTCTCTCTCTCTCTCTCTCTCTCTCTCTCTCTCTCTCTCTCTCTCTCTCTCTCTCTCTCTCCCCCACTCTTTTTCTTCTCTTTCCTCTCCCTCTATTTCTCTCTCTTCTCTCTCCACCTCTTTCACTCTGTCTATCTCTCTCTGTCCTCTGTTTCTCTCCTTCCCTCTCTCATCATCACTCTTTAAGTCTCTGTCCCTGTCTCTCTCTCCTCTTTCTCTGTCCCTCTCTCCTTGCTCTCTCCCTCTTTTCTCTTTCTCTCTCCTCCCTCTTTCTCTTTCTTTCATAGGACATCCCGGCGATTGCCAATGCAGATAGATGGTGAGCCCTGGATGCAGCCACCATGTACAGTAAGTACTTCATAAATCACATTACCGTGTGTCAAGCATTTGCCAACTTTTTTCCTTTTTTAAACAAATTAATTATTTAATACATATTAGCATTCCACAACGTACACTCATTTGCAGCCTTTGTCTAAACGCTGTAGATAATGCAATCCCGTTCACATAAGAAACACATTGTGGTCTATCACTGCTGCCCAAAGTCATGCATTCACTGTACCTTCACTTACAACAGAAAAGAATGTAGCATTACTAATTCAGCAAAACACTTTGTTACTAACTATTGCTGGGTTTCAGATGACATAACAACATTCTATTGGCCAATAATATTTAATGCAGATGGAGGGCAATGAGTTTTTGAGTTTAGTTAATAACTGAAAATACCAGGTTCAGCATTTGTGAATCTACCATTTGGATATTTCATGCTAAAGTACAATGCAATCAATTGGGAAATCTGTCTCTTGCCCCCATCTGGGAGTCTAACATCATCAGATTCTCGAATCGGAAAACTACCAACTAGGGGTAAACCTAATATTAATTTTCTGTTTCTCGTGATTTTTCCAGCTTCGAATCACACACAAGAACCAGGTCCCGATGCTGTTGGGTCCACCTCAGAAGACCCCGTTTTTCTTCTTCAAAAAACGCAACCGGAGCCGTGACTAAAACTAAAACCCAAATACTGAAAATAGAATATGCACACACACATCGTTACACATAAACAGGCAGCTCCATAAGATGAGGTATGTCAGAGATATGTTGATTTCTTTGGGGATTTCGATCGACCAAAAATCAGGACTCTCCGAACTACAAGACTTTTGACCAAGCCCTGTGGAAGTATTCTATTTATCATTGTGGATTTTAACTCTTTGTGGACCAGTACAGCACTGCCTGACCAATACAAATCTAGATACTAGTATGAACTCAATTTCAAAGAACTAAAATAAAAAAATGCACAAACTTGGATGAAGAAAGTGAAAGCTGGATTGCTGTAAACCCGACTTTGAGTAAACATGGGCACAACCACTTCTCTACATAAATAATAGAGTTGGTTGTAAGAGACTGCACTGCGGGCCCCCCCTCCTCCCCACACACACACATTGACAACAGCTGAGCGGAGGAGCGCCACGGAAAATGCCTCATACATTATTGACTTATTTTGTTTGTTACGTTGGCGGTAGTAGGGCGCATCTGTGGCAACATGCAAGGACTGGGAGCCCCTCAGCATCACTAGCCTAAAAAACCTTTAACAACGAAGAAAAGAAAATATCCTGCTTACAGACTGATAGGGGATGTTATTGCAGTTCCTCTGGTCTTATTTTGTGCAGATCATTTATTCCAGCGTTGTTCTGACTCAGCTCGTTGGCTTGGTTCGCTGTAATATGAGGTCGTGGATTGAAATAAATCTTCTCGAGAGTGTTAAAGCTAGGCCCCTGGGTTTTTATTTACCGGCGCATTGACAGGGGACCTAAAATTATCACTCACTTACAGAGACTGTGTGTGCTCCTGTGAAATCCTACGCCTAATTACACTGTCAAACATCACCGTCCCCTCCGCAGCCTCTTCATTATTTCTTTAAATACCAAAAATACATGAAAGGACAAAGATGGACTTCAAAGAAAATATCTGTTAAGGATCTGTTAAAAAGAGGCACTAGGTCTCTGTTGATAATAACGAATGTAACACATGAGTATAATAATCATGTCCCCAAAATATTGCAATGATATCATATAAGAATAAGTATATGTATATTTCTGGAAAGTAGGTGTAGATCACATATACTGTACACTTGAATGTGTTTGAATTTATCATTGTTAATGTAAAAGTCTTAGAGTTTAGAGGGGTTTGGATCAGTATTCTCACTGTTCAGAGCTACAGTCACTCTCTGGAGGTTTCCACTCATTTAGGGAGAATCTGTGATCTGAAAACTGTGATTCAGCAAGCGACAAGGCAATTTGTCATTTAATATTGTGAAATATTATGATAGAGTGCTGTCATTACCGATGCTCTTATAATCTTTTATAAAGCCAGAAGAACTGTGATGGTCGGATCTGTGACACTGTGGACATTACGAGTTTTCTGAGGTTTTCGATTATTTATTTATTTTGTTTTATTTTTGGTATATTTATTATTTTTGTGTAATTCATCATTATTTGTTAAACAGTTTAAAGTTTTTTTTTCTTCTAGCAACTTTCAGACATTTACATTTTAAAGTTTATGTTATAGAGAGAATTTTTTTGAGAAATCTTGAAACATTGTTTGAAAATTCAAAATAGTTTTTACTATGTTAAAAAAAATTAAGCAAAAATCATACTTGATATTTAATTTGCGATATGGCCTTATAGTGTATACGTATATTATGAAATATATGTATTAAACAATGGCACAATATTTTAAATTACAGTCATGTTTGGGGCATGAGTTTCTAACATTGGCTTGTGTTACTGTGGAAACTGTGGAGTCCTCGGAGAGTGACTGTAGAGAGGACTTATGAGCACCACTGTGGGGTGAGGCCAAGACGCTTTGACCCTGGCTCCCTTTAACCACACTGGGACCGCCCTCTGATACCCAGGCCCCCCAAAACCCATCCACTTTTTCAGTATTCAAGAAAAATGATTATTTCTACCTAGATTTAATATCTACAATCACAACAAGCACTTTGTAATAGCATCACTGTGGAAGTTATCATTATTTCCTATAGGAGCCTGGGTGCAAGAGAAGCCAGTGTAAAAAGAGTGCATGTTTACAGTAATTACAGTTATTGAACGAATAGTTTTAAACCGCTATATTACCAAGTGTATATATTTGTTTATAATATTTTACCTTCATCACCGCATGCCTGCTGAAACAGTGAGTGAACAAAACAGCGCGTGTGCATCCAAATGATCATTTCTTTGCTTTGCTAAATCTGAAATATTTATTATTTGTTGTGATTATATTTTTTGCTAGCATGTTCATAGTCATGTATAAAAGACGGGGGAAATAAACTGTTTGGTGCAAAAGAGAAAGCTGCAGGCCCCCAGCTGTGTCATCTGTCACAACTTGTGTGTTTTACTGTGGGCAATAAGGGGAGCGTGTGTCAGATCTGAGGTTTATGACTATGCTTTGAAGTGATAGGTGGCCCTAAAGTCAATAGAGCTGTTCTCATAGGCTTTGTAATTATCACACTGTTAGACGTTGAAAACACTAATACACTCTGATGCTACTGTATACAGCACTGTGCAATAAAAGCTCTGGTCTGAAGACAGTGGTGATAGCAACAAAGAAAGGCATGTCTTTTTAATATAAAGATAGAACTTACACTTAACTTAATCCACACAAGAAAGAACTTGGACACAGTAGGTCACACATTATAGTCTAATAACAAAGAGTAAAAAATTAATGGTAATGAAACTCTAAATAATGATAACTGAAGACATCTAAGGTTCAAATATACAGATTGTATATGTGTGAAATATTGTAAATATAACATACTGTATATATCTATAAGCTATGCAAGAACAGAAATAGCAATTTGAATCTAACTTTATCCTTGACCCTATGCCATGGGTTACCAGTTATTATAATATGTGCAAAAAAACTTGATGTGTTAAATAAAAATTTTGACAAAATTGCAACCCAGTTACAGCGGCTTTAACATCTCTTACCCCTAATATAAACCCCAGGAATTTTTTTGGTAATGTGTTTTTTTGTTTTGTTTTGTTTTGTTTTTTTGTCATGTTAAATTATCGGACACGTATATAACAAAAAAGAAAAAAAAAAACTTTTCAGTTTTATAAAGACTGAAATGATGTGCTTATAGTGATGAGTCAAGGCAGATGTCCTTGAAACAGGAACACAGCTGTGAACTTATCTGTGCGTCATCATTCAAGAGACTACATTCAAAAACATACTTTAAAATGTTTTTCTTTATGAGGGTGAAAAAACTGCCACACTAGACACCAAGTACAGTAAGATACACAGCCTTATTGCCAGTCCAAATGTTAGCCAAAAATCAGTTTTCAAATTTAGTTTTTACAGTACAAGACACGAAGTGCACATTAATATGTTAAATTTGTTTTAACAGTATGTTTTTTTCCTTTTTGCTCTTGAGAGGCTAGTTGAAAGAGCATTTCAATTTCCTCATCAAAGGTGCTTTACCTGATTTTATTGTCTTAAAAATGTGAAAAAACACAACTACTGTAGGTCATTTTAAACCCTTTGCAGTGGTCCAATTATTCCTCATTTACCTTATGCATTCCGAGCATCCTAATTATTCGCCACAATGAGTTTATAAGCACTTTTCTAAACCCTCAGAGACCAGAGTTTTGCCATCAAATATATAGATATCGAACATTCTACATCTATGGCCATCACAGTAAAGCAAACAACAATTAGCATGCTAACCACGCACTTCTTGATTCTCAGTCAAGAAAACACTTTATAGTGAGATTCAGACAGTACACACAGCTGACTTATTTTGACTTTAAGACTTGCTTATACAATATATCTGTACTCGGGTGAGACACAATTTGCTCAAATACATGAAAGGAAATTGGTAAAAGAAAAAAAAAGTATTTACGTCATTTATGTATTTAATTATACAATGCGAGACTGTGATTTACTAATAAGCTGATTCATGTTTTCCATCTGTGCGTCTGTACTGTTGGGGTACAGCTTCGCTCTCCCACGCCACCTCCCCCTTTATCGCATAAGTACATGTTTGCCAATCAGATTACCTGTATCAAGTGACATCACAGGCCTATATGTTGCAACATAGGGTACACAATTGAATAACACAGAAAGACTGAAGAGGAAAGTGCCAATCAAATACATTACAACAGTATGTGTAGCCTGAAGGGACAGTTTGGAAAAATAGATGTTGTATGTATTGTGTTAGGATTGACGTGTGCACTGTCCTGTGTGTTTTTCCCCTTAGGGTCGTGTGAGGAGTGTACTTTGAGCTCAGTGAGGGTCAAGGGCATGCACTTTCTCTGCATCATGTGATTAGGCAATAAAATAATCAATAGGAGCTCTACAGTCAGCCATAGTGTGCAGATTTACATGGGACAACACTTAACTGACTTAAGTGGACATGAGTTTTCTATATAAAATGTGTCTTAAAGGTATATTGTGTAATTTTTCTGGTGGAAAGTTCACTATATGTTTATGTTTGTTTTTGCTTTGCCTAGAATGTTCCACAGTAAAATGATCTGTGTAGCATAATTCATTTACAGGTTTTTAATTGTCCAAATATAAGCAAAAAACTTGCACTGTTACTGTGAGCGAGGAGTCCACAGATCAGACCTGTAAATTGACCCAGTGGCGTCACCTGCTTTCATGGAGATAAATATGTTTAATGCCGTACTCTGGTAGCCAGATTCATCAGCTTGTTTCACTTCGTAGAAACCGTCTGACCTCGCAGTATTAGAATTCGTTCGCTCGACGGTAGGCTGGTACTTTTTTATTTAACCAATCGCTGTTATTTGGTCGTGACATATGTAATGCGCCTCTAACGAACCTAACTGATATATTAAGCTTTTCCCAAATCCATTGGGAAGAAGGGCAATAACATCTTTCACCTTGATAAAAATTCACCAAACATTCTGTTTGTTCCAGCGTTAAATTCTCGATCTCAGGAATCGTTGCTAACACAGAATGTATGGCTCTTCACTGATTGGCTGGTGCCCAAACTTGCACTTCCTGGGTTTTTTACGAACCATCTAGTCTATTCCGATTCTTGACCTAGTCGCTGGAGAGAAATGAAATTGAGCAGAAGAACTAGGTGGTGCCAGTCTGACTAGTACTGTGGAACATTACACCCAAAACAATAAAATCTCCATTGAGACAAGCTGATGGATTCTACCAGAAAAGTTACTAAATAGAAAAGAAAATTCTACTTTTCATTGGTGTTTTATATATTGCACTATTACTTCTAAACTCAACAGCCTGTCAATAGTTTAGAAGATTGAAAAATGATGAACCCCTCCCCCCAACCTAATTTTGTAACTCTTCTTTCTGCACGAATGATTAAATTAAAAGAGAACCCATCAAACTGGTTCTCACTTGCGATATGATGAGGCCATTATAAACCGCACTATACTAATGTGCAGCTGTGGGCACACCCTGATAGTAACAGCCTTTACATTAGAGCAGGGGTCAGAGTATTCTGTGTTAGTGACTCACTGATGGCATGAGGAGACAGTGAGGAAATCTGTGGTGACAATGACTGAACAAACAAAGCCTCAGGAGGATCGCCAAGACAACAGCTTTAGACCATCAAAATAAAAGTACAATGAAGATGTTAGCAAATGAAATTAATTAAATATTTATGGAAAAGTATTGAAGAATTCATAATAGTATACTTTTGTTAGGTTGTCCTGCTTGCAATGCTCATTTGTTATTAAAGGTGCACTATTTAACTTTCCTGGTGGAGAGTTCGCCACATGCTTTTCTCCATGGAGATGTTATTGTGTTGATATTTGCCCAGAATGTTTCACAGCATAACAGTAAACATATCTATCTCCATGGAAACAAGCAGGTGACACCAACAGATCAAATACAGGATAGCTCTGGAGAGGCCCACTTACAGTAAGAATGCATGTTTTTTAATGTAGTTTTGAGCAGTAAATATAACAGTGATTGAATGAATGCAAGATAGAAAATGTCATACTGTGGAGCATTCCAGTGCATTAACATCTCTATGGGGACCAGTAGGTTGCAGAATTCCCATCAGAAAAAGTACATAGTAGATCTTTAAATACAAGTATAAGAACTAAATCAGAGCTAAATTGTAGTACATAAACAGATTTGAACTGACAAAAGAAAGCAATCATATCAAAGGCTATGTAGTTTAAGATATCCTTGGGTTTCGAAATGATCACAAATTACAATCATTGCCATAGAGATAAACAATTCAAAACAAATATTATATCCTTTGAATGGAAAAAACGCCCTCAGAATGAACAGAAACATGGCAGCTATAAGCCTATATCAGAAAGTATGGATTTATCTGACTAAATGTGATCAAACTGATTTCCAGTAAAAGAACTATGCTTAAGCACTTTTGTCAACAAAGTTAAATTTTGTCATTTCGCCAAGAACTTATTTCCACTTCCAGAGTCAATGACAAAGAAAAATGATATAAACTGTAGCAACGTGCATAAGACATGGCTGAATTGAAAACAGGAGCAACAATAGCGTGTGTGTTGTACAATTGCAGTCTCCCTTTGGCAGAGCTTCTTGGTTTAGGCGGTTAAGATAACAAGGAAGGAATTAACTCCCAAAGCTATTAATAGACAGCAAGCCTCATCTTGTCTGTAGCATCCAGCAGCAGGAAAAACACACTGAAATGACACTTTTTGACAGAGGTTTGGGAGGAAAAGGGCAAATGTATTGAGTATTTATGTTATGATTATTTATGAAGTTCAGAGTTATAATGAAGATAGTTTTGTATGTCAGGTATGTTCATCAATTCTGGATTATACTGTCATCATGTGAGACTTTTAATCTGTGAATTTGTCACATAAATGTTGTTTATTATCCAAATCTGCTACTCCTGCTGCTATGACTTATATCACTTAACACTGTTTATGTTTATATAAATTGCATTTTATCATATCATAATTATACATTAGACGTTCCTTTGAAATGTAAGTTTTTATATTATATTATATTATATTTACATAATAGGTGACACTTTAGAATAACTATTACCTTAACTATAGCCTTAATAAAGCACAGAAGACTTATATTACAATGAATTAATAGCTAATTAAGGCTTAGTAACTACTTACTTAAGAGGTTAGGGTTCAGGTTAGGGTTAAGGGTAGTTACTAGGAATTATTTCTCACATTTTTTTCTTCATGCTTTATTACTGCTATTAAAAATATAATTATTAAAAAGTATTACCATATTGTGTGGTAATATTTGATCTAAAATATGTATGTCTGAACCATATATCAGTGACATCACTTGCCAACAGGGGCATACAGGTGGTCCACTTTTTACATACTGTATGTGTGCTCTTCTGTCCCGTCTCAGAGAAAGTTGGGATTAGCCCATTTCTCTCCATGGCAACTTTGACCTGGCTTTATGTCAGTGTGACACTAACCTACAGCACAGGTGACAGAGGCCAGAGGATATTAACCAATGAGCCTCTGTACCCTAACCTCAAACCAACCATCCACACAGAGTTATGTATACACACAGCACGTCCCCTCTGCTTATGGCACCTTTATTTTAGGAAAGAATAAGAATAACAGCTTCACAATGTGCTCTCTCTGCACGCCTCCGAGTGACCACCCACCACAGCCGCATACACTCTGCAGCGTGGTGGGTGGACCGTAAGATACAAGCCTGTCCTCTGCTTTCAAGTGAACACAATTCAGTCAGGTATTTTTAAACCAGTGTTAACCAGGCCTGTTTAAGATAATATTTGCATTGTACTTTATGAAACAGTGAAGCAAGTAATGTCTGTTTGTACAACTACTACTACTACGAGACTTAACAAACTTTATTTATTCATAAGGGAAATTATTTGGACACAGTAGCTCACACATTACCATATCGTATAATAACAAACTGCAAAAATACAAATGGTAATAATAACTTCAAAATAAGTAGCAAAAAAGAGACTGCTGTTAAATAAACATAATTACACAGTACAAGTATTATTTTGTCTTATTTCTTATTACTACTACTACTACTACTACTACTACTGTTACTGCCTATGCAAAAGTCGGTTAATGGTGGTTGCAAAGGATTACGAAGGATTACTGTTATCCTTATGCGGGTCAATTTAAACGCTGGCTGACGTCAAAGGTTGAATGTACAGCAAGAGTTTATTTATACTCGAGTAATTTACTTCAGTACCTGCAAAGTATATTTTGGAAATTATTCATATATTTTATATATTTGTAGAAGACTAATTATTTTCTTAGCTGAAACAATGCACCAATTTAATATCTGTAAAAAATAGTTGCATAATAAATAGAACACAGTCAGAATGCCTATTTTTGAACTAAAACCACCTGTAATTGAATAAATGTAAGGTAGTTCATATCATACTGTGGAACATTCCAGGCAAAGCAATGACATATCCACAGAAACAAGCAGGTGATGGACTCCCGACAAGAAATTACATAGTGCATGTTTAAAGCAACAACCCTTGCTTGAGGTATTTCAAAGGTTTTCATCACTTCTAGCTGATGCATATGTTGCTAAATGACTGATCCTATTTAGTGATTGAGGTGATAATGGCAAAGGTTATTTATTTATCACACCTTTTGGCTTTAGATTGTATTTGCCTACACACTTCACATACTTGTCAACACATTTAACAATTTGTTTCCACAGGGAAACACTTAAAGTAGCATAGGAGATACTGGTGAAAGTATAATTTCTTCTTAATAAGGATTTATATTGCAGGGACATGTCACTCTAAGTCCATATCAAAACAGATATGCTCTTCTCTCATTGACATTCACTGCAAATAGCAAAGAAGATAAACCCTTAAGACAAGACAACAAATGAAGAAGGTCATCTATTCTTTAGGCAATATTGAAACTGATCCTTCGGGGACCAGAAATACCCTGAACAGATTTGCTACCCTCTACATAATTATATGGAATGTGGCTGCTAGCATTTTGCATGTTGTAGATTATTTTCCACAAAAGTTTATAAACACAGAGGAGCCACTTTCACTGATCAACAGGAATTAATGCTTATAGCCTATTATGTAAGACTTACGTAGGCTTTGAGAAATCCATAAAACTAACATACCATACAATACAATAAATAAATAGCCTAAATAAAATTAAGTAAGGTTCAGATGGTCCGGTTTTGACAGTGGTTTTACGCTTCAGTACATTTCCACTTGTGTAGGACTGGCCCTTTAAATGCAGCTTGGCGTTGAGGGTTGAAAAAAAAATGTGAATGAAGTCCAGCCATTCATAAAAATAGGTCTGTGCTTCGCTGTGATTGGCTGCTGAGTGTTTCATGTATAATTAATGAGCGTCAGAAAGCCCATTGGCCAGAGTGTAAACAGACAGACAGCTTTGGCCAATCAGCGTCTGTCTCTGCGCGCAGCTCGAGCCCAAGGGAAAACTAGCTCGGACCATTAACGAAAAGCTCAGTCAAGTTTTGTGAGTCGACGGAGGCGCTGCAGTTTATCAGTACGCAGAAGATTCCCCGACTCTCCACACGTTCACGCTTCTGTTTTGGGATTTAACTTCTGCATTTTTCAAGCGAGGGGGTGCACAAAACCACAGACAAGGTAGGCTGCAGTATTTTGGGACACTAGCTTTGATTCGCGTCCTGCAAAAAACATATAATTTTAATGGTCGCAGACTTCAAACGAGTGCACGCCATCTTTATATAAAGATATTAAGGCTTGAGCGATTATTTTCTATCGTACTAAATTTTAGGCGGATGCGATCTTTTGCTAAGTGCTTACAGAGGTTTATTAAACTGTGTCGTCTGCAACAGCGAGTTGTCGCCCCGGTCAGGACACTGATTTTATGAATGGACGAGACATTTCTTTCCTCCCCGTGTTTCCACACGGATCGAGTTTCACTTCATTGAGAAAAACAAGAGACGGGAGACTGTGGGGGAAGGGCGTGTGGAGGGAGGAGAGCGGGGCCGTGGGGGGTGTCTCTCCCCCGCGGAGGCCCCAGCGCTGTTTGAAGTGTTAAAGAAGTTTAAAGGAAAATATCAGATCTGTCTGTGCGTGCGATCAAAAGCCCCGGGATAAAACGCACCGCAAAGCCTGTTGACTACTGTACATCATTCTAGCTAAAACAACAACGAACGAAAACAACTTCAGTCTCTCTTTAGTTTCCTTTGCGTTAAACACAGTTGTGTTACGGCGCCTTGCTGCTCTTTGGTGACGCAGTTTGCTTTTAAAAGTGTAAAGCCTCTGTCTCTGCACTTCTTGTGGTCTTGGTACAGTGAGCTCTAATGATATAAACTCGGCGCCTGTAATCATTGCCCAGCAGCTATCCTTTATTCGTCATCCATTAACAGAAGATAGCGGAGTGAGTCATATCACTCAGTGCGCTCAAGGAGATGGAGCAGCGCGCACAGTGATTATTGTTGTAAAGGAACTTTTTCTCTCATCCTTCTGACTTTAATGCATCCGATACATACATTGCCTTCTACTTCTATTTTCGCGTCAAACCGAGATAAAACCAGTTTACGTTCACCCTTCAATATGCTTAAAGAGGTTTAGTTGTTTTGTTGCGCGCCCCTCGTCCAGCCGTCCTGTTGAAAGTAGTGCACGCAGATGGTCAGTGAGTGTGGCTTATATAACAACGTTACGTGTATGCTGTAAACATGCTGCAGCAGTGGCTTTTTGTTTAAAATCCTCTTGAGGCACTTTGTAGGCTATGTTTTTATTTATTTATTCTTGTTTTTGTTTTTTTGTTGTTGTTTGTTGTTGTTTTTCCCCTTTTATAAAAATGTTGTTTTTTCCTTTTTAATCACAATATTTCTTTAAGTATATTTGCTCTACCTGCATGAGGCATTTAATGTGATGAACTTTCTGCTTTACAGGGATTCAAAGGTTGGCCCAGGTGGCTCTGTCGCTTTAAAGCGAACCCCCTCCCCTTAAAATCTGAGCCCCAAGCCATTGCAGAAATCATGGATGGATTCTATGACCAGCAAGTCCCTTTTATAATCCCACCCAATGTAAGTGGACATGCAGTTGCCCTGCGCATCTTCAAACACATGTGTTTAAATGACAGTGTTATTGAGTAAACGTGCAGCCATTGTCCTGTGTGCATGACGTCTTCTGATAAGTGGAGCACTGGTCTTAACATGTCTCCATCTTTCTCTGGACAGCACAAGTCGTGCGTGGAAGAGCCTCACAGCAGACCTCTGATTGACAGGAAAAGGAAGTTTGTCGAGACTGAACTTGCACAGGACACAGAAGGTTTGGCATTATTCTATTACTTTGTGTGTATTTTGTTTTTGTTTTAATTATGTTTCAAATTAATGTTTTTTTTTTTACAGAACTTTTTCAAGACCTCAGTCAGCTGCAGGAGATCTGGATAGCTGAAGGTAATTACTTTTTTCTACTTTTGATGTGATGTTCATATGTTCGATACTGTTTTAATGAAGCAATTAAACAATTAACTTAAGAATATCTATGATAATGCAACAACAATGGAATGTATAATCTTTAGAATTTGACTTTGCTAACTCAGTGTAAGCATGCATTGACATGTATGTAACTGTTGTAATTTTTATTTCACAGCTCAGGTGCCTGATGATGAGCAGTTTGTTCCGGATTTCCAGTCTGATAATTGTGAGTACCTTGTTGCTTTTATGAATAGTTTCTCTAGGCTGTTGCTTCACCCCTAACCTTCTCCCACATGCTGACTTGTCTTTGTATAATGCCACTGTTTTTCAGACTCAGCTCAGAGTAGGCCATGCTTCCCTCTCCTCCATTTTGAGTGTAATCAGCCGATTGGCATGGGGCATCACATGAGCCCAAGTCCTAATCTGATTTCACACTTTCTCGCACTCAGCCACTGTAGCCAGATCCACTGTAGCTGCTAGATTCTGAGGCGTAGTGCTGCCTCTCTGTCCGCTGTTTATTGCAGGCTGAAAGATAAGAACATCTACATAGTGTTTTGGTCTACTGCTGTGAAATACATTTTAGATTATGGTCAGTGTCAGTGGGTTGTTTTATGCCCCCTGCCCCCTCTGTTGTCTTTCACATTTAATTTTAGCTTTAGTGCGTAGGAGGATTGGGTGTGGTGGTGGTCCATGTTTTGTTAAGCAAGTTGTGGATTACAAAAAACTATCTGGCCACTAGTTTGACAAGTTGACAAGAAGACTTGTTTTTGATGGATAGCAGTTACCGTTGATTAGACTTCAAACTGCATCACGCTAGCTAAAATCTGTTTATTATATCTGGCTAAAACGGCATTTGTAAAGCAGATGACTCTTATGGGAGTCTAGATTTTGAATTTTGTCCCCATTTGCTCCTCTCTCCGTGTGAAAAGCCTCAGCGGACCCTTTGGTCTGACTCACGTGCCCATTGTGCGCCCTCTTTGGTCCATCAGCGCTCCGGGTGATTTATTTGGCCGCTGCTCCTCTGTGCCAGGGGATCTAGTTTCTGCCTGGCTATTATGTGGCGCCCCGGAAACTGCAGCCGATAGACAGAGCACTGCAGAGAGTGTCTAATGGTTACAGCATGGGAGAAAGAAAATCATTCAGCACCATTAGATTACAGCGCACTGATTCATGGATATTGGTATTGGCTTGCCCTAATGGGAGGCAGACGAGCCGTTTGATAGCTTTAGTGTGTACTGTGCAGTTAGGATCATGCTACCTAACAGTGGTGGATGGATGTTGTTTTCAAAAGCCAGAGTCGACTGTCATTAATGCTCAAGACAAATAGCTGCTAAGTGTCTCTGCCAGTCGAGGGAATAGACACTGGCCATGCCTCCATTTGTCTATCAGTTCAAGATGTGGTTAAGATAAGAGTGCACTTCTGTTTATGGCCATGGTTAGCTCAGATCTGGTCTACATCTAATGCACTATGCTGTCTGTGTTATTTTTCCTCTATACAGTGATGTTTCATGGCCCTCCACCCGCCAAGATCAAACGAGAGCAGACTCCGTCCAAAGATTTGTCTCCCTGTCGCCAGGACAGGAGTCCCATGCCCTACGCAGAGAAGTGCCTTTACAGCTACAGGTATGTTACATCTATTGCATCTAACTAAAGCTCTCACTAAATTTAACCCACATATCATATTTAAGAAATGCTATATTTTACTTGACTTATCTCTTCACCCACAGTGCCTGCGACAGGAAACCCACCCCTGGGTTCAAGCCATTAAGCCCTCCCTCCACCCCAGTGTCTCCATGTGGGACGTCCAATACACTGAGGGAACAGACCCCTCCCACACCCCAGCATGGGCCCAGTCCCACCCAAAGGCCCGCACAGCAACCTCCAAACCAGCAAGCACTCCACAGCCTGCCCTTCGCTGTCCCCTGCACGCCTATTAACCAGGATGCAAACAACAGGTCAGTATCTGCTTTAAATCATAAAGTTGTAATCTCTGATTTTGTTCACTGTGTTTTTTGACTCTTAAAATTGAATATGAAATAGTGACATAACTTGTGTCTGGTTTTAGGTTTCAGAGGCAGATGTCAGAGCCATGTCTACCTTTTCCCCAGTCAGAAAGCCAAGGGCGCCCACCATTCCTCCCACAGCCCCCCAGCAGCAGTGCTCTGCCCAGAGACAGCCGGCCTCCATACCACCGGCAGATGTCGGAGCCTTTGGTGGCTGTACCTCCACAAGGTTTTAAACAGGAGTTCCTCGACCCCCGGTACACGGAGCAGGGTGTTCCCACGATGGTCCCGTCTGCCCCTGGCCCTCAACAACCACCCTTTCACTCGATGAGCATCAAGCAGGAGCCTCGGGACTTCTGTTTTGATTCTGGTGAGTGCTATAACATAAATGGGGCTTTGTGTTGTTTTAATGTTGACGTTTGAGAAAATCTTGTTTATTTCAGCCAATTACACATGCGTGTGGCTTTAACACCACTGTTAGCACACATGCATAATCAGCCTCATCCTCCAAAGCCCTGTCAGAAAGAGGAAAGTGGGTCCTGTCACTTAGCTTAAGCTTCACGGGCACAGAGTAAATGGGTTAGGGCCAGGTGCAGGAATCTTCACTGAGCCTACCTGGAATAGATCTAGGCCACTGCGCTCAGAGGACAGGCTGACCTGAGGCACAGAATGTAGAGTGTAAAGGATCTATTGCATTCTCCAGATAGCCTCACAATAGTATATCCTGTGGTATCTGTTTGTACATAATAACGAAAAAGTGAGCCTGGTTTTGTATTGTTTGATTTGAACGCCCACACACCCATCTGCTGTTTGCTTGACATCTTTTCCTTGAAATGTAACTACTTTTTAATCTTTGCCTTGTCACTGGGTTTCATTTACATGCTTTCTGCTTGTTGGTGCAGACTAGTAGTGATGTAATAACAAATCCTCTTAGCTTCTTATGGCCTTTAAACACCAGCGTCACAGATGTCTAGCATCTCTTTGATTGGTAAATGTGTGCTACGTGTTGAGCTCAGAAAATCTTGTATTTCACTGTGGATGCCTTAATAAAATACAGATAGTGTCTTTGTGGCCACAATGACGTCTTGCAGACTTCTCTAACGTGAGGACAATAAAGAGCGACCACTTGAAGGCAGCATTTAGTTGATGTCTGTGTTTTTTCTCTTTTTGTTTTTTTGTTTTTTTATCAGAGGTTAGGAAACAGAAACAGAGTTTGAGATGATTGCGACCCCTGAGGGTGAGGAGGACTGGTGTAACTCAATTGTCATTGAGATTTAATATAGAGCCCATTGGGCTAATCCTATTCAAAGGCTTGGTCAACATTCAAAGGATGATGGGTGCAGTTCACTTTACCATGAAAACAAGGCTTCAGCCCCCCCTGCACATGTCCATAAAGACAAATTCAATAAACATTATTTTTTATTATTCACTTGTTGTGCTGAACTGAAATGCAATAATTCTCTAAAATGTCCTTTTCTCTTTTTATAGAAGTGCCTCAATGCCAGTCATCATTTGGAAGAGCAGGGAGCTTCTATCAAAGTAATCAAGAAAGTAAGTATTATTTACAATACAATTTGACTTAAACTTAATATTAATATTATTAATATATAATTTAGATGTTCATTCTATAGCCTTCATTCACATTCAGTGAAACAAATCTGATTAAAATGTTTTTATTCTTGTTGTTTCAGACTTCTCCTTTGACAGAGATTCTCAGCTCTATTTTGACGATACCTGTGTGGTCCCTGAGAGGCTAGAGGGGAAGATCAAGCAGGAACCATCCGTGTATCGGGATGGGCCCCCGTACCAGCGCCGTGGCTCTCTTCAGCTCTGGCAGTTCCTGGTGACTTTATTAGATGATCCAGCCAATGGGCATTTCATCGCCTGGACTGGTCGTGGCATGGAGTTCAAGCTTATAGAGCCCGAAGAGGTTGGTTCATACAGAATTTTGTATGACATCCATCCATAACATTCTATCAAACCAATTATACAGTTTTGTTTCCTTGATTACAAATTGAATTAATTATTTATTTTTGCTTTTCAGGTGGCTCGTCGCTGGGGCATCCAAAAGAACCGACCAGCCATGAATTACGACAAACTAAGTCGCTCACTGCGTTACTACTATGAGAAGGGCATCATGCAGAAGGTAAAGGCACGTTGAGTTTTTTTTGTTTTTCACAATATATATATATGTAAATAATTAATGAATAGATGAAAAGATGAAATTGGACTTGCAGCTAAAGCATTCATAATGATCACTTTTTTGTCTAATTTTGTACTAATTCTCCCTATTGTTTTTTTCAGGTGGCTGGTGAAAGGTATGTGTACAAATTTGTGTGCGATCCAGAGGCACTGTTCTCCATGGCCTTCCCCGACAACCAGAGGCCCAACCTGAAGGCCGACCCTGACAGCCTCCCCGGTCTGGGTTTGGATGATGACACTGTCCCACTCACGCACTACGAGGACGCTGGCCCCTATTTGCTGGAAGGAGGGGAGCAGTGCGTCACAGGCCTACCTTTCCAAGATGGTTATGGCTACTGAAATGACATTGTACATGAAGACTCTATGTGCTTGAACTATACTTGAGCTACGCGATTGAAAAGACATGTTTTGCTCACGTTCCTCCCCGGACACCTTGGCAACACTGTCCCAGCTAAGAGCGAACAAGGGAGGAAAACACAGAGGATCAACATAGTCCTGCTTTTACACATAAAGCATGGAGCTACTGTTTCCATGGAGACCAAAAAGCGAGGTCTAAGGCCTTTCAAAAAAGCTGTCAGATTTTTTCCTTCATGAGAGACTGCAAGAGTTGTTACATTTCTATGTGACATGTTCTATGTGACAATCTGCTTTAATGAAACAATCAAGAAATTTAAATATTTGGGATGAACTTTGCAGCAGTATTTATAAAGTTGCCTTTTGGTCCCTCACTTGTTTCTGGAAATCCACTAAAAGGGCTTTAACTAAAAGAGGATTGTCAGAACTCTCCATACAGAAACACAGTCCCCACAAACCATGTATTTCTGTAGATATTTGCTTTGAACATTTGCCATGTGTGTTTTGTTTTTATTACCCAGAGCAAAGAGATTCTGGGATGTTCTGGGATGTTGCTGTATTTCACGCAGTAGTTGGTTTCCTATCTAAATGTTCTTGTAACATGAACAGAATTGAAACTGCTTTTATTTAATGTAACAATCAGCAATAGTCTTCTTGTATCTTTTTCTTTCAATTCTTCATTACTCATCTTTCAAAAATAGCACTCCCAGTTAAAGGCAAATCCAAATTCACTTTTCTAACCTATTGCTATCAATGTATAAGACAGTTGCTCCTTTTTGTATTCTGTGTGCGTGCTTTGAGTTTTTCCTCTGCATTGTACATGTAAATGCACCACTGTACCACAGGAGCAAAATCTTGCATGCAAAAAAGAAATTGTTGACTTTTTGCCACAACTGAATGGACATTTTCTTTAAGTTAACAAGAAGCTTCTATTTGCATGGTGCCACCAACATATCGCTTCAGTTTTTGGACAAAGAAGATATTTGTGATATTCTCTGCAACTTTTTGTGTTACCTGTTTCTCAGTCGGGGCAAGGACAAACTATTATAAAGTATATATTTTTGCTATAAGGCTGCATTTGTTTTCATGTATAAGCTATATAGTTCTGGCTCTATAGAAATGTACCTTTTAAAATAAACTATCTTGATCCTTATGCAACTGTGGCCTGGTCTATTAATGGGGCTTGTATGTCACGTCTGGTTGTTGATGCTAAGATAAAATGTATAATTGTAGTGTAGTATGACTGAGACAATACAAATATTACATTCATATACACAGAAACTTAATAAGTACTGCCCTAACAGTATTTGCAAAATCTATTGAGTTGAAATACAATTTTTTTTTTGTTCAAAACCTGAAATCTGATAAAATTATACTTTGTAGTGTGAATATGAAACTCAGTCACCAGTCTTATAAACCAGTTTTAATATTAACAAGACAATTGCACTGTAAAGAAAAATGTCTTATGATATGGTGTGCATTTATTTGTACAGGGGCAGTGCACCATCACAACATATTAACCAAAAAAAAAAAAAAATCACAGGAAGGATGGTGCCAGTTTTTCCAGCATGAACGCTAATTTATGCCTGTAGTCCTGAGCAGGTTGATGTTTTAAAAAAATAACAGTAAATACTTAAATGCAGATACCGATGTATGTGAAAGACCAATTTAAACAGTTATGAGACAGTCACAAAAAATAAGATAAATACAAACGCATACAAAATAAGTCTCTAAAAACATAAAATTTAAATCTAATATGTCCCCATTTGTTTATTGGGTTGTAAGGTTATGGATAAGATCAGGGCTTGGTTTAGAGATTATGGTTAATAATAGGGCCAGGGTGAGGGTGAGAGTTGCTCAAAAATATATGTAAAAGGTCCTATATTATGCAAAATTGACTAACAGACTTATGAGCTTTAAGCCATGTTGAAATGTTGTTACCTCCTCAAAATCACCTGGAGTTGTGTTTCATTTCATTCACACATTACCCAAATGATTCTAGTGAACCTGTATGGAGTTTAAAAAGACAATGAAGGACTTCATGTATTACCACATGACAGTACAAGGTGGAACAGAGTGTTCTCTGTTTGGTCAGTAAACAACATTATAACACAGATCAGAAAACAGTGTGATATGGACCTTTTAAATGTGCGAAATAAAGGCTGTAGGAACGTAAATGTGGCGACATGAGTACGCTCCTCTTTTTTATTGAGTTTATGATATCTCCATAGGTACTATAAACGCTCGTGCATGATCCACTGCCTTCGGGTCACTACCCCTCTTCCCTCTGCAGTCAGTCTGGTCTGGTCTGGCAGAACGCTGCTTGACCTGGCTCATTTCTAGAGTCGCATGCTTCTCCTGGATCTCTGGATTGCATTTCTGGGTGAATAATTATCTGTTTACTCTCACACCAAAAGTATGTTAAAGATATGCATGATATATTGGATAGAAATATGTAGTTGTATTTTTCTAAATGAAAGCTATAAGTATGTAGCCTGAGAAAAAACAAAACATGGTTTACGTATTTCTGAAAGGCAGTAATGCAATAGTTCTATAGTAATGCAAAGGTCTATGGATTGTGTCTTTCATTTATTTGTTGTTTTGTAGAGTATATAGACAGTGGGCGAGTTGTTATTTTCTAACCAGGAGAGATGGCATTTTGCCAAAACCTATATCACACATTACTCTCTCTCTCTCTCTCTCTCTCTCTCTCACCCTTTCTCTCTCTCACTCTTTCTTTCTCTCTCTCTCTCTCTCACTCTTTCTCTCTCTCTTTCTCTCACTCTTTCTCTCACTCTTTCTCTCTCTCTCTCACTCTTTCTTTCTCTCTTTCTCTCACTCTTTCTCTCTCTCTCACTCTTTCTTTGTTGTTGTTGTTTTGTTTTCTTTGTTTTGCTGTCACCAAAATCTGGATTTATTTAAAGTCAGCTTATCTACACTGACTTCCAAACAAATAATTGATGCATAGTACATATTGGCTAATGATGTGACTGTGTGCTCGTTATTATCATGGTGTTTAGACAATGTTTAGATAATATGGTTAAACTTGAAACTTTTATGGTAAAACTGCCATACATCCCACCCACCCATGTCAGTAAATCACCAGAACCAACCCATGTCTGTCCATAGGCTGTTTATTTGTATGTATAGACTGGCCACGTTCTCAATGACGTTGGCCCCTTCATCCACGATGGACGACTACCCTCTGGTGGACAAAACTCTTATTACGACATCATTCAGTAGGGCTTTTCGTGGATTATGCACTATATTAGTTTTGAATGTTAAATTACTATCTGTAAAACAGTATTTTTGTTTTTATTACATCGATTAACTGTAGTTTTTGTTACATATGTTAAATCGTTGTTACGCAGCGCATGTCTACTTACTATTACACTTGAATTTTTGTCTAAGTAAGTGCCTTAAAAATACTGCCATAATAAAATGTAATAGAGTTGGCTTGGTTTTAGTGTAAATAGGCAGAAATAGGATTCTTGGATTATGTTTTTCTCTCATTCAGAAACACATTTAGTCAGCATAACTGTTAGCATCACTTAGCTAACTTAGCTTAATTAGCAGCAACTCTTTGGTCAAACGTTATCTGATAATTTAGCTTTTAAAAAATCTAACTAACTAACCGATCGTAGATTGCTAGTTGTATTAGCTACTTGCTTATGACAAATTGTCAACCGTGCTATGCAGCTAATTGGCTCATGTAGACATCAGTTGTTCAAGATACGCCCACTCAACTGTCACTTTGTTAGTGCCAGATCTCACGAAATATAGCAAACTCGTTTACACGATCATGTTTAGGTCAATAAACATGATGCCAAACATGCCGCCGCAGGTAAAGTACATTTCCGCGTGAAATATGAACTTATTGATTTTTGTTATATTGGTTTTGATCGCTGGGCTTTGTTTCGCCACGTGTCAGTTTATGGCGCGGCCTTCTAAAGCTGAGTCGTGTAACTGTCAGTGCATGCACAACTACAAAATATTAACTGCGGTTGTTTAAAGTATGAGTTTGTCCACTAATTTTTACTTTATAACCTTTTAGACAGTTTGCCAGTGCTCCCACTGCCCTGTCGACCAAGCCCTAATTGCAAGTAGGCAAGCTTGCATGCTAAATGACTATCCCAGGATCCACATGGTTCCACCACCTGCTCCAGTCCCCCCTCAGCTGTACAGGGTGATCAGTGAAGCTCCACGTAAGCAGGCAATTCTGTTAAACACCAGAATCTGTCATGAGGGCCAACTACACTACAACTAGATCACCATTTAAAGAATAATTCTCCATGCATAACTTTAATTCTAGGTCTTTCTCTCATAAACAGACCTGACAAGTGCAGATAGAGCTCTTTTTTTGAGGAACTCTGTCTTCAGATTGATTTATGAAAATATCTACCTGGCTCTAACTGACTCCAAACTTCTAGGCTGGTACCTTGCTCTCTCCCCTGATGATAGAAAAATTATTCAAGGTACTTTATCATTATGTAAAGTTTAGAAATATAGATTTTATTTTGGTGCTATAGATGTAGATCTGTGCTGTTTTGTTTTCTAGATGATGGAGGATTTCACCAGTTCCTAAAGAAACATCCTGGTTTAGAGCTATCAAAGCACCATGTTTATGTGAAAAGTATGCTATATTTAAATACTTAGCTGTAAATTACATCCTAATTATTTATTTAATCATGACTCATTAACAAAGGTTTCTCAGTAATCTACATCTGTATCTTGAGAATGACCATGATGTGAGAGCTGGGCTTAATTAATAAACTGCAACGCTCTATCCACTTTAGATGTAATTCCTGAAGAGTCAAGAGACAACTTTCCTCTGTATCACAACAGATACAAGGGATACAACGAACATCAGAGTTGTCTACACACAAACTACAGCAGACCTCCATTGCAAACAGCTGACCCCAAAGTACAAGAAGTAAGTTCACTACTGTGGAATTATTGTCTGTTATGTTATTTGTTTGTTTAATATTGAAAGAAATGTATTTTCTCAATTAAGAATCTACCATTTTAATATGTGACAATACATAATTAATATATTGTATATTTGCCCATATCTGGCATACACATTTTTTGTCCATACACAATCTTAAAAATCCCTCTGCTCATCTTGTAGATAAGTAAACTGACATGGCCGATGGCACACACTAGCAATGATCACAATGATAAGAACTTAGAAGAGCAGTTAGCTAATATGTCTCGGGACATGCAACTGGAAAAGCACATACAAGAAGTGAATCCTCAAACTACTACTGTGTAAGTGTAGTTGATATGTAACTGCATTTATTCTTGAAGATGTGCCTACTAAGAAGCACTATTTTTGACAGTGTTCTGCTCAGTAGCCCTGATCTTCACTGCAGCGGTGGCAGTGCCTTGTTACAGAACGTGGGGCATGAAACCAGTTTGAAGGAAAACTTCTACAGCATCTTGGAGGCAGATAAGAGCATTGTTTTGTGTGTCCCAAATCAAAGTCCTGATACTTCTCAGTTACTCTCTGGAGATTTAGTCTCTGGAAATGAAGTTTCTATTATTGAGTCCATCATCAGAAAGACTGAGGACAGGTCCACCTCCCCCATGACCGCTGTCTGCACCTGTGATGCTACAGTCGGCACTGAGCAGACTATGACCATGTCTACGCTAAGCCAAACTGAACCCCAACAAACTGCAGACAAGCATCTCAATACAGAGGTCTACATGTTAGACCTGGATTATGTCACTGAGGTAAATTTAAAGATGTCAACTAAGAGTTTATAGGACAGCTTAATCTATATCATACTGTTGTTCTGTACTAGGAGTACATTACAATCAAAACCGAGAGAGATAAACTACTAGAGAAGATGACGATACAAAGGTAATGCATGTCATGGCTGTTGCAACTTGTAAAAATTAAATTTTATAAATCAACTTTTCCGTTTGTTTTATAAATTTAATTGGTATGTTATTTTTCTTTCGTGTTGTTTCAGAACCACTTTGGCAAGGGTTGTGAATGACCTAAAAACACTGGAGACTGATTATAACAAGATGAGGGAGAAGATCCTGTCTGGGATTTCTCTTCAGGACCTTAAGCCTCTGTCTCTTGACAAAGAGAAAACTGAAGGCTCAACAGTTGCAATGGTGGATTGTGTTATTGGAATAAAGACAAAAATAATATGTATATAATATACTGTGTATTGTCTTTGTAGAGAATTACTGATACTGAGAAGACCTCTGCTGGGTATGTCACACAATGTACAGTTTTGTGCAATTTATCTTCTCTATATTAGTGTATATTATATATATTTTTTTAATTCCTTTGTCTTATTTAATGCAGCTCTCCTAAGCAGCATGATGACACAATGGATGCTGAACCCGCTCATATCAGTGACAACAATAACAACTCCTCACAGGCAAGTTAACTGTATATTACTCTATGCTGTAAAACATATTGAACTTTGCTGATCAAATTAATGTAAAATAACTATTTTCCTAGGAGAGCGAAATGTTAGATTCTTCCAAAGGTAATGCTGAAGTGAAGAGGGCTGTCACGTGTGTCCCAATGGATGGAAGCACAAGCCAAAGACCAGATGGAAAACTCTCGGGTAACTAAATTGTAACAACATTCCAATTCAAAGCATGAATTTGTTACCTATCTGTTTATTGGGTGGATTTGAAAGATTCAGTCTCTACTGAGGCCTGGTTTGATGCAGAGGAAGATCTGTCTTCTGGCAGAAGTGAAGTGCAGCTCAAAGAGGACGAAGATCTCGCTGCTAGAAGTAAGAACAATGGGTCAAAAATTATCACATAAATGTTTTACATTAGTCCATTTAAAGTGTTATTAATCAAGGAAATGCTTTAGTTTACATTTCTCATAAGAAAATGAATTATTTTTTTAGATTGTGCAAAAACTGTTAAATCACATGGTTTAAAAAATATATTTTTAAAAATGCTAGTGTTGATAATAATCTAAAAGTTAATACCATTTTCACATATAGCTATGGACAAACCTAAAGTTGTGAATGCAGGGCTCTGTGTTTCTGGGCTTCCCACTAATGTTACTGAGGTAAGTGCATTTTAGATACTTTCTGTGCATGACGTAGTTAGTGCTATGTGCAGCAGGGGGCAGTATAAGCATTAATAATATGTGTTACTTGTGTTTCAGAATGATGTGAGGATATTGTTTCAAAAGTACCGTGTTTCAGAGATTCACATCTCCAGCTTAAAGGAGCTGAGGTATTGGGCATCAGTAGATAGCACCAGCTGCATTAGTATTGTGTATCTCATTTGCAGAGAAACAAGTTCCTGTCTTATTCTCTGCCTTTCTAGTGTTGCCATAGTGATAGTGGAGACTCAGCAGTCTGAAGCTGCAATGAGGGAGCTCAATGGCCTGAAAATTAAGGGACACACTTTACAAGTAGAACGCATTAATCCCAGCCGATCAGAAGATCAGGGTCAATCTTTCACCTGCACCAGCAAGGCTGAAAGCTCAAATAACCTTAGCAAGAACCAGAATCAGGTGAGACTCCTGTTGTCTCATTTTTGTGTCATAATATTTGTATTGATTTTAAAAATCTTTTTACTAGTCACCAGCATCATCCAGTTTACAGAAGAAGGTGGTGTGTGTGTCACCCACAGCTCAAGGCACGTTTGTGCCACAGCACTATGGCACCATGGGCAGCTTTGATATCCTCATGTCGGAGCTGACACAGCGCCACCCAAGTGTGAGCCGGCAGAGAATTGTAGACGCCCTTCTGGAGCTGAGGGCCAAATACAGGGGGGTGCTCAGCGGTCTGCCTCTCAGGACAATCCGAGACATGACCTCTGATCTCCTGACTAGCTCACCAGCACCTAAAATCTAATGAGACCATGTTTCAGTCTTTTTTTGTTCATTCATATTCTGAGATGCTTTATATGTTTTGATAATTGCCTTCATGTTGGTTTAGCAGTTGTTTCATATTTTTGAACAGTTTTTACAGTCTTCTTTAATTCGTCACAGGACCTGCTTTAGTTCACCAATAAATGTCTCTCAGCAGTTGCTATGCGGACTCAATTTAATTTAAAAAAAAAAAAAAAAAAAAAAGCAATACATATTTTCCTCTCCCACTAGATGTCAGTATTGGCCGTACTTCCCGGTGTGTTATTCTGTTTCAGTGTGTCCGTAAGCAGCGAATGGGTTAACGTAATCCCTCGTAGAGAATGGGCGGAGTGTGGGACTCAAACCGGACAGACGGTCTACAAAAGCAAAGTTAGTGAAAGGAAAATCACGTAAGGTCTGTAGCGTAAGTTAATGCATTTTCTACAATTTGGCACGCATTTTAAAGACCGACAACCGTGTGAGTGGCCCTTAAAGATGGATACGCTTATGGCACGTTGTTGTCATCTATGGATGACGGAGCTAAGACGTGGAAGAAGAATATAGAGACCTCCAAACAGAAACTTGTGGACCTCAGAAGATCAACAGGACACCGTGGTGCGCTCCCAAACAATGGATAACTGTCAGGACCCTTGATTTGGGAGAAGAATCGCGTGTCGCTGGGGCTGTGATGGATTAAACGCATTTTACAGTTTTGCACGTATCGTAAAAGAGGGTAGAAACAAATGAGCGCTCTGGTGGTGCCATAATAAGCCCATTGGACAGCATAAATATTTAAAAAAGACCCTTATCAATCAGGCGTCTGTGAACAAGGCGGGTTGCACCATGTGGAGGACGTGGATGCAGAGAGCAGCATTGTGCTGCGTGCTTGTTGAAACCTTCATGTACAGCGCACTGGGTAAGACAATGCAAGGTTATGATCTAGGTTCTATACAATCTGTGGTTATGTAGCTTGTGAACAGTGTGTTATATAGGAGAATTATGGCTACTCTACTTGATTTTCAGCTGATAAGAGACAGTTTACATTTAGACCTATTAATCCGCTCATAACAAAGATGTCATTGATTAACACCTTTGCACGTTTTGTATTGTAGGTTATTTTCTAATCCTTAGGCCTACACATGATATGACAGATGTTTGTATTCCATTATTTTAGTCTATCTCAGTGTTATTCTGTCTTTACTGAAAAAAATATGTTTATTTGTTTATGACTTTTACTCTACAATTGTCATATTTGATCCTTCTTAGGTCTCAACATGTGCATGAGTGGCAGCGCTACCTCCTGTGAAGAATGCCTCCTCATTCATCCTAACTGCGCCTGGTGCGCACAGGAGGTAAAACTCAACCCCTCTTGGTTTAACATAAGGAGATGGGACTCAGTATTTCTCAGTGAATAGGCTAAAGCCTGCATGCTGCCCTTTGCCAACACTCTGAAAATATATTTTTTCTCCCTTTTATTTTTTGTAGGATTTTGGTATTGGACGCACTTTGCCATCTCGTTGTGATTTTAGTTCAAATCTGGTTAAAAGGGGTTGTGACACACGGTACATTGAGTCTCCTAGGAGCAGTGTTTCTGTGCTTCAAAATGAAGTTCTGAGCTCAAAGGGCTCTGGAGCGACCCACAGTAATGTGGTCCAGATCATGCCTCAGAAGATCTCTCTCAGCCTGCGACCAGGTATGAAGCTGTTGACATCTATTTTTTCTCCAGCTCACACACCACACAAATCCTGTGACTAAAGCATCACCACTTTGTCTAAACAGGAGACCAGACCTCATTTGAGCTGCAGGTGCGGCAGGTTGAAGACTACCCAGTGGATCTCTACTACCTGATGGACCTGTCTCTTTCTATGAAAGATGATCTGGACACAATCCGTAACTTGGGCACAACGTTGGCACATGAAATGGGAAAACTCACCAGCAACTTCAGGCTAGGCTTTGGTTCTTTTGTGGACAAAAACATGTCTCCTTTTTCGTACACAGCACCCAAATACCAGGAAAATCCATGCAATGGGTGAGTAATGATCATATCAGTGATTACTTTCATGTTGATTGCAGACCTGAAGAACTCTGTAAAGGGAATCAGGCCTTTGTGGCTAAATGGACATAGAAATAATTCAGTCCAGTCGGACTATTTTTAGCCTTTCATGAATCATGAATCGCCAGGTAGATTATGTAAAAATACTGGATTTTTCATATTTAAATAAACAATAAACAGGCCCTTTAAATGGCCCCTCTCTGGCCACAGTCGGTTGTGTTATTGATGTGAACAAACTGAAAGGGAGCAGAGTGGATGGATGATGAAAAGCTGACTGTGGATGCCCTGAAGCTGAAGTTGCACTGCACCATTGCGCATCACTAAACATCTGGGTTAGACCAGACTGTGGTGTAAGTGTGCTTTTCACAATAAAGCACAGGACAATGCTGACTGCTGAACCTGTTCATGAAGCCATAACACAAACACATTTTTTTTTCAAAGACTTAACTCTCATTTTCTTGCCCAGATACAAACTGTTTCCCAATTGCGTCCCTACCTTTGGATTTCGCCACATCCTCTCATTAACAGACAAGGTGGACCGTTTCAATCAGGAGGTGCAGAAGCAGATGGTATCTCGCAACAGGGATGCCCCAGAGGGAGGGTTTGATGCCATCCTACAGGCTGCGGTTTGTAAGGTAATGTTTCTTTTGTCCTCTGCGTTTTTGTTGTCTCAGCATTTAAGTACAAATCCCAGATTGCCTGTCTGTGTGTGAGAATGTAAAAAAAAAAAGTGTTTTTGATCTGTTTGAACAAAGGTATATAACAATAGAGCATATATTCCATGGGATAACATTTCATAATAAACAACATATTTATTAATTTATTGCAACAAAATGCAAGAAAAAGGAAAAATCTAATTGCTTCATATGTTTTAAAAGCTGAGCACATTAGAATAATTTTTATTAGTGCAATGAAAACAAAAAACTTTTTGACAAAATTTGACTCAATTAAGATAAGATACATAGAAAATGCTATAGTGATGACTTAAGATTGTAAGGGAAAGCTGGTGGCCCCCCATGGCTAGTACTTTGCCTGTTTGCTTGTTAATTAAAAGCACCAGAGGGGACAGACAGGAAGTGTTGTCTGCAGCTGGCCAAACATGAAGACGAGTCAGGCTCAGTCACGTCCCGGTTTCCTTGTACGATTTAATTGTTTTCTACAGGAAGTGAATGTCATCCTCCTGGTGGCTCTTGCCTTGTAATTTACTCGACTGGTACTATTTCAAACACTCAGTGGTTCCAAACTGGGCTACGACTGTCCAAAGGGCTAATCGATGTAAGCTGTTCTATTTTCAGGGCAGTTATTAAGGGTGGTTTGTGAGTTAATATGAGATATAAGTTTATGGTCTTATGAGCATTCAAGGTTACTAGCTATGAATTTCATTTTCATTTTTTTTCCCCTGAAACTTTTTAATAACGAGCAGAGGCAGAAATTGGCTCTGCATTTTGTCTGTAATTTTTGTCAGTATCTGCGAACATGATTTTTTTTTTTGCCACAGTGTGCTTTTTAAATTCAAGTTGCCTAGAAACTGGATTTTAGGTTTGTCTCATGTCATGTCAAGGAAATCTTGTCTTTTTTTATACTTAATATACTTCTATACTTTTCTAATTGCTATGCTCTACACTATACTGTTTATTACATACTTGCAGGAGGAGATTGGCTGGAGAAAGGAGGCCTATCATCTGCTGGTATTTGCCACAGATGATGTTCCTCATCTGGCTCTGGACGGCAGACTTGGCGGACTGGTCCAGCCTCACGATGGACAGTGTCACCTCAATGAGAAAAATGAGTACAGCGCCTCAACCCAGATGGTACTAATCTATTATTTTCACTTAAGTCTGATGTTTCCTTCCTCCTATCAGTGCCTTATGGATTCACCCCCTGAATGACCCAGATCTTAATGTTAACAAAAATGCAATGAACTTTAAAGTGCATTTCATCCTTATCTCCTTCTATCAATATTGTATAAGCAACTAAAAACATATTTTTCAAGTTTTCAACTAGACTTTTACTGCACATATAAATCTGTTCATCTAGAGGCAGTAGAGTTTAGTTTCATTCTTTCATTAGATACACCACAAAGAAGCCCTTTCATTGCCATAATTACTTGAAACTTATCTCTAGCAGAAATACAGTACACTGAAGCAAATTTCATGTGAATAGAATTGTGCCATTCTTGATATGATGGTCTTTCTTTGTCACAGCACAATATAACTGACTATATTTTGTCAGTTGTTTATTTGCTTTATCCATCAGCTTGTCTTTTCTTTGCAAGTCCTCTGTAAATGTTTTTACAGTTGTGCTATTGCCACTAAAACTAAATAAAGGCAATGTCTTCTAGAGCAGGCTCCAACTGATTTCAAAGGGCTCACAGGGCAATGTAAACATAACATTGGGTCACTCGAGTGTTAGCACTTTAAACACAACTAAAGCCATTTGTGCTTTCTTCACAGGACTACCCTTCTCTGGCACTCCTAGGAGAGAAACTGGCTGAAAATAACATCTTTTTAATCTTTGCAGTCACTAAACGACTATATGTCATTTATAAGGTATTATAATGAATCAGCTTTTGCAATAATCATGCAAATAACTGAAAGTTATATATTTATATGTTGCCCTTTTACAGAATTTCACTGCTCTAATACCTGGCACAACTGTGGAAATCTTGGATCAGGACTCCAAGAATGTCATACAACTCATCGTCAATGCGTATAATGTAAGTCCAAAATCTGATGTGGCATTTCCTGTTTGTGTGGGAGAGTAACGGTGACAGCAGTGTTTCACTCCTGCTTTTAAAGACCCTCCAGCTGGTTTTGTCATTTAGCTGTTAAGCACATGTCAGTAAGTAACAGGACCAAAGGTGTACAAGGGCAAGAGACTGTACTTTCTTTGATATTCTCAATATGTGAAATTATACTTTTATATTATATAGTCTACAGTCATAGTCTACTGTATATGCACAACACTGGACAAAACGGAAAGAACAGAGTAGGAAAAGAGAAAATGGTTACAGTTTCTGGTGAGTTCTTGTAATATTTTTGTATTACCATAAGTTCTCCATGCAGGCTGCTCCGTGCAGGCGTTCTTCTTTTTTCTTTTTGCCTAGTATGAAAGTGGTGTGTGCTGGGTGTGCTGAGTGTTGGTGCTGGTCAGAGGAGCCGATTGGCAGCTGCACTTCCATCAGTCTGTCCCAGGGCAGCTGTGGCTACAATAGTAATTTGCCACCATGGACTATGGAGTGAATGAATAATGATCTGTAAAAGTGTCTTTGTGACACATGTCTGTGAAAAGCGCTGTATAAATAAAAACTTAATTAATTTCTTACTTTAGTGCACAGAGGCGTGTATGTGTCCACCAATACCCCTAGAAATTAACAATGAGCCTGGCTTGGTTATCGATGTATGTCATGGGATGTTTTTCGATGGGCAACAGCCAGCACTTTCACCATTGGTAGAGGTACGCTGTACAAGAATGACTTTGCATTGGCAGAAAATGGCATTACAAACAGCTCTGGAATTCAAATCTACACGACCTGCGTTGGTGCCGAGAGTTTGCGGTTGTGGTCGGATTTACTTTCAAAATGTGCCAAACCAGCCGATGCATTCCCCATGTTTCACTCTTTTCCGCTCTCTGCTTAAACCAAGACATGGAGAGCTGAGGTGGTTTCTGTATAAATTTTATTGTGGGAAACAGTAAGTTATGTAGCTGTGCATTCCGAAGTTGTCAAAAAAGTAGATGGCCAGATAATCATTACTAAAAGTTCTAATCACTTGTAACTTCTGCAATTTTAACAGTTTTATAGCCACTTAATTTGTTCTCCATGATGCTGTCAAACTTGGCTTTGCCTCACTGAATCTTTCTACCTGATGTCTTCCTCAGAATATCCGGTCGAAAGTGGAGCTGTCGGTTTGGGACCACCCTGAGGACTTGAGCCTCTCCTTCACTGCCACCTGTCAAGACGGGAAGCCTCTGCCGGGCCTCAGGAAGTGTGCTGACCTCAAGATAGGAGACACTGTAAGTAGAATGTTTACTACTGCGACTGCATTTGTAGATTTATGGTTTATTTTCAAATTATAGAAATAAAGGTAAATGCACAAATCTAATCATTTCTATCAGTGACTAGGCCAAATCCCTTACTGTGTTACAACAAAAATTTACATTTTAACAATACTCGCCCTCTATCTGCCCTATAATATTAACTGGTATCTAAAACTCAGTAATAATCATAGAATACTGGGGGAAAACAACAATTATGGTTATGAAGTTATTGTGGAATCACGTATTAAAGTTAACTATTGAGGCTGTTTTATTGCTATTGACTATTGCTTTAGTGTCAACTTGTGGCAGCAAACAGGTTGACCTTTGGAGTCTGAGTAATTTCTTCATAAATTGGATCAGGAAATGAGGGTGGAGAACTCTGTGAGAAGCCTGTGTTTTTGACCTGAAATGAAAAATACACTTTGTGTTCATTTTTAAGTGTGCAGTTTGAGTCTTATTGAACAGATTCTGTGCCATTTTCTTCCAAAATTCAGGTCAGTGCCTAGTCTTGTTACTGTTTGGCCACCATAGATTACTGAGAAAGCACAAAGTAATGGTATTTAATTGAATTTTGAACATTCTTGTGTTGTTTGTCATTCTGTATTAATGATTAATTCTGCAGTAGATACCAAGCAGAGATATTAACATTCCCGGTATTGTTTCAGATATATTTGAAAAACTGAAAAAAGGGGGAAAAAATGCTGTTCACTTGATCATTTATTGATTAAATCTAGGTTTGCTTTTATTGCTTTTTGAATGTCATTTCCAGACTTTTTTAATGGCTTGTATGGGGTAGCCAAAAAAACAAACCTGTTAATCCCAATGGATATCCAGCCTACACCTCCTGCTGCTCTGCTCTTCCTCTCGCTCCCCTGCTTTTGTCATGGGAACTAGTTAGACCGAGGCTGAAGGTGAATAGCTGTGGTGAATGTGGGGACTGAAAAGGCCTGGGTGATGGGCCGCTCATGTCCATTCTTCACTGTGGAGTAGACTGTTTGTTTCCAGGCTGCCCCTCTCTGTGCTGACGACATGTGCTCCAGGTGTCACTCCTGCAGCATGCCAATGACCTCACACACAACAGTGAGCAAGAAGGGCCTGTGAAACTGTGTGGCTTGGAAGAAATGGCCTTAAGGGGGGCTAGTTACACCATGGCATGTATTTGTGCTGGCCGCCTCAGCATAGGGCAAAGGAAATGCATAGTTAATGAAAAGTACCATGCAAATGAATAGGACAGCATTAGCAGTAACATACCATGGGTGAGTTTTGTTCAAACAAATTAGAGCTATTTGAATAGAAGTGCATGCAGTCCTAATTAATTGGATCATATAGTATAAAAATAAAATAAATTAAAAATAATTATTAAGTTTTAAATGCATTAATGTAAGATATTATATACTGTTGGATTGTGATGGAAATTTATTTTGTAGAATGATTCCTCTCCATCTGTCTTTCTGTAAATGAATGTGATTTCTATCTGAGACCAGAAACACTAACAACACACAACAACTAACCGCTAACAGTTTTAACAAAATGTTTCTTTTGGGAAATTACAATTTGACCAAAGCATTCTCTTATAGTAGAAGACAACTAAGCCAACATAGATGTCTGTTCAGAACAAAACTGACACATAAAAATGTGTCACATTTTTTCACCAACAGGATCCTCATCCTGAATTGGGAGTGACCGACCCCTTTACATTCCTTGTGTTTCTTCCTGTCTCAGATTGACCCCACAGAGCCTTCTTAAAGCCACATGACTGCAGCAGCCGACTCCTCGTGCCTCACATTTACAGTTGATGACTTAACAAGAGGCACAATTTAATTAAGTTTCCCGCGTAAAGAAACAAGGGCTCGTCCAGAAGCTCATGACATTGTAATATCCGGATTCAGAGCTCTCAATTATTAAGTCCAGTGACCTCAAGTATCTCTCTGATTTGCGTTGTTGGTGCATTTTAATTTTAGATGCCGTATCACAGTATTGCCTCTCATTACTTGCACTTGACGCCTACAATACCATAACTGCTCTTTTACAGTGAAGATGGCTTCAGATCACAGTGGATAAACTTTATATTTTTACTTTTCACTTCTCAACTAAATGTCACCTAACCAAATCTAAGAGGAGCTTTCATGTTATAATGTTTAATGTTAAAGTTGCCAAAGTTGGGCAGAAATTGACTTCCTGTCCTGGCATTCAAATGTGTGGCTAGCCTGTCGCTGTCCCACTTTCTAAGGAAAAGACATTCATTTGCTCACTTCTTTTTGGCAAATAATATAAGGAAAATAATAAAGGTCAAGTGTAGCTCAGCAGGTCTATGAGTTCATGATGTTGCAATGAAAATATATTCAGATACAATGGGTCCAGTTGACAGCAGTTTCAAATTAAACAGGACGTGATATCCCATCCATCTATTTCAAAGTGCTTTTGTCTTTTGTAGGTGTCGTTTAATGTGAGCGTAGAGGCGAGAAGTTGTCCTCCTCGAGGGACAGACCAGACGTTCACCATCAAACCAGTGGGATTTAAAGACCGCCTGGAGGTGACTGTGGACTATCAGTGTGACTGCAGGTGCACCCAGAGGGCTCAGGCCAACAGCAGCATGTGCAGCTCTGTCGGTAAGGCTTGTGCTTTATCGCAAGAAGTACAGAACTTATTTAAATAACTTTATGTTTGTCAAATAAGCTACTGTCCTGGCCCAATTGTGTTTGTGTTTTTCTTCATAATCCATGGATATTGCTCTTATTTCCCAAAGAAAGATAAAACTATAAAACTTGTATCCAGGTCTTGTAGCATATTTCCTATACTGTGAAATTACCATACATCAACAAACTGACCAACATGAGATATAATAAGTCATTCCTCTGTGTAGGCACGTACACCTGTGGGACATGTAGGTGTGAGTCGGGGGTATCTGGGTGCCCGCTGTGAATGCCAGGAGGGCGAGGCGGGCAGCATGTATCTGAGTGCATGCCGAGAGGCTGAGGGCAAACAGATCTGCGGGAGAGGGGAGTGCAGCTGTAATCAGTGCCTCTGCTACGAGTCGGAGTTTGGAAAAATCTACGGCCGTTTCTGTGAATGTGACGACTTCTCCTGCGCCAGACACAAAGGCATCCTCTGCTCTGGTAGGCACAGTACTTTCTTGGCTCCTGAAGTTTACAATATTGTTCTACACCCATTAATGCATGTGATACACAGGGCAGCATGCTCAATCTAGCCTGTTGGGCGGTATTCACATACAAAGCACATTTTCATTTAGTATTAAGTTCATACCTGTGCAGGGTGTGTCTTTGAATTCTCCAACTCTGAATCACAAGCACTTTCTTCAGAAGATTCAAAGACAAAAACCTGCAGGCCCTTGGTCTGTATCCTGCCAGTGCAGCTGCCTGAGAACTTAGTCTCGTTTTTACATTTACAATGGCCTGGTTTTGAGTGTAGTGGTGCTTATTTGGTTTTGTAAAATACTTAATGACTGGACTGCTTTATTGTTAAAATTTTGACTAATTCTGAGTTAGACTTGTACAAGCTCGGTATCTGTGTGTTTAGGCAAAAAATATCTTCCTGCCTCCACATAACCATGTGCTAATGTTATATTACATGACCGTGTTTAGTCTCACTTAGGGGAAAGTGTGACTTACTGTATATAAAGGTACATGCTATATACAAGTCAGTTCAAATAGGCCATGGTTGTTCACAGAACATTGGGTCCAGAAATGAGTTCTGGTTCGGGCCTCGGGGCTGGAGGGGGAGGCCCTCTGGCTCATCCCCAAACCAGCGTCTGTTCCAGAGCAGTGACAGAGAGAGCTTTGTGACAGTGAGGCCAGCTTTGGCGCGATCTGCAAATACAATACCCGCCTCTATTTATCTGTGCTCTGGAGGAGGAGACACAAGCCTTTGGTTTATGAGGCACACACTGGATTTGCACATACAGAAAAGCTGTTTGTTTGTGTCAATCATCCATAAGTCATTAAATTTTAACAGTCCACTACTTTTTACTTTTGGTGCCCTGTCCCCTCTGCTCTATAGAACACCAGCATCTGAGGTCGTAATTTCTAATGATACCAAACAGTACGCCTCTAACGCACTCCCACTCTTCGTGTTAATTATAATGGAGAATCCAGAGAATGTTGTAAAGTATTTGATGCACTGAAGATGTAGGCTGGTGCACCTCTGCCAAATGTTTTAGTGTACAAGACAAGTAGAAGGCATGAGGGGTGCAGCTTTATGTCTGGTGTGTGTTACTGTGCAAACCTATGATAACTAGAAAATGATCTTCCACTTCATTCTGCACTGCACAGTAATTTGATCTGTGAATATTTGAAATTTGTTTTTGCCAAGCTAAAACTGTTTTGTAACCATTTGAGAATGACTTGTGTTTGAATTGTGTGTTGTGTAAAGACATCATAGACTGTATAAAAGATAAAATATATTCTGTCTATGGAAGACATAGGTTTGTAACTTTTTGGAGGGTTGCCACAGTTGCTAGCGTACCAAAAAGTCAGTGAAATCTTGTTTGTTAGCATATGACTTTTATTTTGCAGGTGTTTACTTATACTTGCTCTAAATGAAACTCACACTGAGCACAGACTGTCTCTGATTGTTATGGTAATCTTATCCTACTATCTGTGAAGGTCAATCTCTGTCTCTCTGTGTACAGCTTTAGACAATTGCACTATCCCCAAGGTGAAATGAACAAGTCTGCACTGCAAAGACACAATGTATCAGTGTGTGACCCCATTTTGTGCTTCTTGGTTATGTTAATTATTTTATACATTATTCCTTTTACATTTGCCTTAGAAAAACTTTCCCTGTGTCTCTGTGCTGTGTCTGTTTTTGACATGAGTTTACTTCCTGGTTCTCCTGCCCCCCTGACCCACATCTCCAGTGCTGACGTGCTGCTCCTTTTAAATAATGATCTAACCGCTAGACTGGCCTCAGTTGCCAGAAATAGCATCGTTTTATTTCCAGCGTTGCTCAAACCTTTTTTAACTTCATAAACAAGAACATGTGTGCCAACATCTGCACACAATAAACTAGAATGCACATGTGTGTTCATACGTAGATGAATATGAAAATGGCTGCATACTTTTTAAGGGTTAAGAAGGATTTGGTGAACAGTGGGGAAAAACAACATGTATATTTATAAATATATAAATATATATATATATATATATTAAAAAAAAAATAAAATATATATATATATATATATAATATATATATTATATATATTATATATATATATATAATATATAAAATGTATTTTTTTAACCTGGGAATAATGTGTAATGATTTGCAGTATAGTAGTTGTGACTGCAGTCATGCCAGTAGCAGTATGTACTATGTTGGGATAATCCCAGTTGTGGTGATAGCACAGCAGTGTTATTCGTTTGGTAGTATGATTATTTGAAGTTAATGAAAAGGAAGACTTTAATCTAAGTAGTAGCTGGCATTTATGTTAACTCCTCTGCCATTTATCATGCAGAAGAGACATTTTGCAGTGCTTTTGTTGTCTTTCTTTGCTGAGGTCTGTTTGAGTCTCTTTCTGTGGTTCCGATTACATTTTATGTGCTACTTCAACACGCTCCAATTTGTATTCCTGGTTTTACTAAGGCCTGTCTGACAGCCACCCACTACTACAGTACTTTCAGTAGTACAGATTATTATAAGTAAAGTAGGCCTTCCTAGCCCTACCTGAAGTGCACCTGCCCTGGGAATACTGTGTAGAACAAACAGTGGACGACTCCTCCCTCAGTTCAGTACTCTGGGACGTGACTGAACTTGACCAAACAAAGATCTGGGCTCACTGTAGTTGAATACTGCCTGTCCACACCTACATATGTTTGCCTGCTCTTTTAATGTCTTCAGAAACTGCTGGCTTGGAAATTTCCAGCTTTCCACAAATTACATTTACATCTTTAGCAAACTATTAAAAAGACATAAACTGGATAAAATGTAAGCACAAAGATTCATTTGTAATATGAAGGCAGTAACACATCTCAAAAAATGCCTAGGGCAAGTCCAAAAAGGATTTTGCAAAAACATATGATTTATTACCAACTAAGGCTGCTACTACCGTTTTAGCAATGACCATAATACCAATTTTGCTAATTGATTTATATAGATATTGTTTGTTTTTTCATGTAATCAACTAATCACTGGCCTGTGTGAATTTGATTTGCATATGTTTTCTTTCAAGATTCTTAAAACCTCTTCTCCCAGCACATGTTTTTTTTTTTTTTGTTTTTTTAAATTAAAGCTGACTTTCGGTAGCAAATAGTGAACGATTATGCACTGGAAGTAAATACATAGAGTTCAGGTACTTTTCTTGAACTCGTGGATAATCATATACTCGTCATCACCAGTTTTTAACTTTATGACACACTGGTTTTGTTGTATGTCCACAATACATGGGAAATTTCAAAAGATTCATTTGATATACATCTATACACATGCAGCCACAAAAGAAGAAACTACAAATTATTGATATTTCACATTTTCTTGACTGGTATTCTACTTAAAAACCTCTATTCGATCTGATGACAATACAGACTTCCTGTTTTAATTTGGCTTCAATATCATACCTCTAAACAAGTCTGAGAAATGTGCAGAGTTGCAGTTTGATTTCTTGGCGCAGCTGTTTCAGGGTTTGACAGTAAAGCCCGGTAGACAGGCTTACGACCCATGAGCCGCTCTCTCTCTCTGCGCTGTGAGCCCCCAGAGGCTGTTTGTTCAGCCCCTAGATTCAGATGTGTGGAGGCGCACAGCTGACTGTAATTGTATCAGTGGGACCAGGGACAACACATCCCAGCTGTGTAGAAGCTGTGGCATCTGCAAGGAGCCCAAGCACGAAGCTAATAATCCAAATAAACAATAGACCTCTGAACTCGCAAAGGATTGAGTTTCAAAACATTCTTGTATTCAGGAGTATTTAGGGTCTCCATTAGCGACGGGAAATGTTTTTATTGCCTTTTCTTTTTTTTTCTTTTTTTTTTCTTTTTTTTTGACAGATTTCAATAGTAAAAACATTATTTCCGACCATTTGCATGTAAGTTCTTGAGGACATTTAAGGCCAATGTGTCCACATGTGAACCATCTGAGATATTAACATTTATGATCTTTTAAAGTTTTAGTAGTGTGATGTGTCTTGTTTGAAAACCTAGAGAATTTGAGGTAAAATACTGGCCTTTTGTTTTTATTACATTTAATCTTTTGTCTCTTTTTTTTTTTTGTATAGGGCTGCATGACTTTGGAAAAATATCCAGCTTTGATTTTTTTTTTTTTTTTTTTTTTTTGACAAGCATTGCCATTGTGATTAGATTTGCGATTTATTCATTGACATAATTTGCACATTGCACACTGTAAATAACTCCATGAGAGTTAGTATTTGAGAGAAGACTGAAATATGAACTGCTAAACTCATATGCAAATCCCATGCATTTTAGAACATTTGTAAAGCTCAATTACAATGTTGATAGATTAATTTATTTATACAGAACAGATGTAATAATTTGTTACTTGTTACTATTTACTTGTTAATTGCTACCATTCTTTTCAAATACGTTGTGTATAGTGTGTCTGTTGTCTGCCATAAGCAAAACAACTCTTGAAAGCAGTGTTGTGTGTTTAACCCTTTCTGCCTGTAAATATACTTTTCATCATGAGGTGTGTAAATCCCAATCCCAATATTTGGAGAACATGCACAGATGCTTACTCTGCAATAACAGGTTGTGTTGAGGTTTGGAAATGCCCTTTTAGAGGTGATCATTTTTCTACATCTTCCATTCATTTTCAGAGTTTTGTCATTTTTTTTCTAAACATGACTAACGCCTATGGATGTCAAGGCATCTTATGACGTAGGAACAGACGAGAATCTTAGAGTAAATAGTATTTTCATGACCGCTAATGACTGTTGTCTGTCAGGTATGTAATGTTGTGCCACTGCCTGTAATTGGCTTCAAAGCTATTGTCCTGTGTGTTGTGCTACAGAGGCTTGTTTAATGGACTTATTTTTTATTTTGACTTACTATCACATTGTCTAAAACTAAATTTCTCTTTAATTGCAATCTACTCTCTGGGCTCAGTGTCAGGCAGCTTGGCTCAACTACAAGAACAAACATGTTGTTAC